AAAACAAAAAACAAAAGAAAAGTAATTTTAAAAAAACAAAAATAAAAAACAAACCACTCTCCACAGTATACAAACCACTCCAAGTAACTCCTGGTTTTCTAACTCCTACTTGAAAGAGTCTACTTAATAGAGGCTGCTTTCAAATAAAGTGAGCAAGCTCAGTGAGTTACGGGTGTGCCTTTATGGGGATACAAATCCCACACAGGTGTAATTAATAAACACTCCCCCAGTCAATCAAGCAGCAGCACACAAAAAAGTGGGGGGGAAACCAGAACACACACAAAAAAAAAAAGTAAATTTAAAAAAACAAAAATAAAAAACAAACCACTCTCCACAGTATACAAACCACTCCAAGTAACTCCTGGATTTCTAACTCCTACTTGAAAGAGTCTACTTAATAGAGGCTGCTTTCAAATAATGTGAGCAAGCTCAGTGAGTTAGGGGTGTGCCTTTATGGGGATACAAATCCCACACAGGTGTAATTAATTAACACTCCCCCAATCAATCAAGCAGCAGCACACAAAAAAGGGGGGGAAAACCAGAACACAAAAAAAAAAAACAAAGTAAATTTAAAAAAACAATTTTTTTTTTTAAACCTTACCAACAAAAACCTTACCAAAGATTAAACAAAAATAAAATACAAACCACTCTCCACAGTATACAAACCACTCTCCACAGTATACAAACCACTCCAAGTAACTCCTGGTTTTCTAACTCCTACTTGAAAGAGTCTACTTAATAGAGGCTGCTTTCAAATAAAGTGAGCAAGCTCAGTGAGTTACGGGTGTGCCTTTATGGGGATACAAATCCCACACAGGTGTAATTAATAAACACTCCCCCAGTCAATCAAGCAGCAGCACACAAAAAAGTGGGGGGGAAACCAGAACACACAAAAAAAAAAAAAGTAAATTTAAAAAAACAAAAATAAAAAACAAACCACTCTCCACAGTATACAAACCACTCTCCACAGTATACAAACCACTCTCCACAGTATACAAACCACTCCAAGTAACTCCTGGTTTTCTAACTCCTACTTGAAAGAGTCTACTTAATAGAGGCTGCTTTCAAATAATGTGAGCAAGCTCAGTGAGTTAGGGGTGTGCCTTTATGGGGATACAAATCCCACACAGGTGTAATTAATAAACACTCCCCCAATCAATCAAGCAGCAGCACACAAAAAAGGGGGGAAAACCAGAACACAGAAAAAAAAAAAAAGTAAATTTAAAAAAACAAAAATAAAAAACAAACCACTCTCCACAGTATACAAACCACTCCAAGTAACTCCTGGTTTTCTAACTCCTACTTGAAAGAGTCTACTTAATAGAGGCTGCTTTCAAATAAAGTGAGCAAGCTCAGTGAGTTACGGGTGTGCCTTTATGGGGATACAAATCCCACACAGGTGTAATTAATAAACACTCCCCCAGTCAATCAAGCAGCAGCACACAAAAAAGTGGGGGGGAAACCAGAACACACAAAAAAAAAAAAAGTAAATTTAAAAACAAAGTTAAAAAACAAACCACCTCCACAGTATACAAAACCACTCCATAGTATACAAAACCACTCCAAGTAACTCCTTGGTTTTCTAACTCCTACCAAAGAGTCTACCATTAGAGGCTGCTTTCAAATAAAGCGTGCTTTCCAGTGAGTTACGTGTGCCTTTTATGGGGATACAAATCCCACACAGGTGTACTAATAAACACTCCCCCAGTCAATCAAGCAGCAGCACACAAAAAAGTGGGGGGGAAACCAGAACACACAAAAAAAAAAAAAGTAAATTTAAAAAAACAAAAATAAAAAACAAACCACTCTCCACAGTATACAAACCACTCTCCACAGTATACAAACCACTCCAAGTAACTCCTGGTTTTCTAACTCCTACTTGAAAGAGTCTACTTAATAGAGGCTGCTTTCAAATAAAGTGAGCAAGCTCAGTGAGTTACGGGTGTGCCTTTATGGGGATACAAATCCCACACAGGTGTAATTAATAAACACTCCCCCAATCAATCAAGCAGCAGCACACAAAAAAGGGGGGGGGGAAACCAGAACACACACAAAAAAAAAGTAAATTTAAAAAAACAAAAATAAAAAAAAAACACTCTCCACAGTATACAAACCACTCTCCACAGTATACAAACCACTCCAAGTAACTCCTGGTTTTCTAACTCCTACTTGAAAGAGTCTACTTAATAGAGGCTGCTTTCAAATAAAGTGAGTAAGCTCAGTGGGAGTTACGGGTGTGCCTTTAAGTGGGGATACAAATCCCACACAGGTGTAATTAATAAACACTCCCAGTCAATCAAGCAGCAGCACACAAAAAAAAAAGTGGGGGGAAACCAGAACAATACACAAAAAAAAAAAAGTAAATTTAAAACAAAATAAAAACAAACCACTTCCACAGTATACAAACCACTCTCCACAGTATACAAACCACTCCAAGTAACTCCTGGTTTCTAACTCCTACTTGAAAGAGTCTACTTAATAGAGGCTGCTTTCAAATAATGTGAGCAAGCTCAGTGAGTTACGGAAACCGCGTGCCTTTATGGGGATACAAATCCCACACAGGTGTAATTAATAAACACTCCCCCAATCAATCAAGCAGCAGCACACAAAAAAGGGGGGGAAAACCAGAACAAAAAAAAAAGTAAATTTAAAAAAACTAAAATAAAAAAACAAACCACTCTCCACAGTATACAAACCACTCTCCACAGTATACAAACCACTCCAAGTAACTCCTGGTTTTCTAACTCCTACTTGAAAGAGTCTACTTAATAGAGGCTGCTTTCAAATAATGTGAGCAAGCTCAGTGGGTTAGGGGTGTGCCTTTATGGGGATACAAATCCCACACAGGTGTAATTAATAAACACTCCCCCAATCAATCAAGCAGCAGCACAAAAAAAAAGGGGAAAACCAGAACACACACAAAAAAAAGTAAATTTAAAAAAACAAAAATAAAAAACAAACCACTCTCCACAGTATACAAACCACCCAAGTAACTCCTGGTTTTCTAACTCCTACTTGAAAGAGTCTACTTAATAGAGGCTGCTTTCAAATAATGTGAGCAAGCTCAGTGAGTTAGGGGTGTGCCTTTATGGGGATACAAATCCCACACAGGTGTAATTAATAAACACTCCCCCAATCAATCAAGCAGCAGCACACAAAAAAGGGGGGGGAAACCAGAACACAAAAAAAAAAAGTAAATTTAAAAAAACAAAAATAAAAAACAAACCACTCTCCACAGTATACAAACCACTCCAAGTAACTCCTGGTTTTCTAACTCCTACTTGAAAGAGTCTACTTAATAGAGGCTGCTTTCAAATAATGTGAGCCTTTTATGATTCCCTTTTATTCCAGAAGTTTGGTCCTTAAGGGGTTAAAGAAATCCAAGAGATTGGGAATTCCAGGAACGGAAAAAAGGAACGAACCCAGAAAACCCAGCATAAAGAAACCCAGACATAGAATAGAAAACCAGAAAAAACAAACAAGAATTGTAAAAAGAGTACTGGATACCAGAAGCCATTGCCATAAATGATCCGCAGCCAGGAACAGGATGTGACACACAGTAATATATTAAAGTGCATTAAAAACTGTTCCAAATTAATTATGTATGGTGCACTCACATGTAACATGGCTGTAAAGCTCTACAAATAGTGCTCCAATGGCATCTCAATGTTATTTATCATTTTTAAGTTATTCCTAGTATTTTACAAAGACAAGAATTGATGCATCATGTATTGATTTACATTTTCTTCTCTGTTTCGCAGACTTTGTTATGTATATTTCGGCATTCTATATTAAACATTTATTTATTTATTTTTAAATCGACTCATTAATTGCAATCATAATTATAGAAACGTAAGGTATCTATGTACATTTTCCAGCAATTTCCATTATAGGATAAAGATCAACCGTATATTATAGGCTGCTTTTTTTAACTCAATGATTGATAGATTTTCAAATAGAGGAAATAGAGCAAAAGAGATTATATAATGTGATTTCATGTCAGGGAACTGCAGTTATAGATCTTGGTCTTTTGATAGCAGAAGGCTGAAACTGCATCTTAAAAGGAATAAATGCTCTTTATGTCTGAGGAACACAGATTACAAAACTACCATGGCATTAGCCGCTGTTTTCACCATAACCTATTAACTTAGCACGTAAGCTTGGTCCGCTGGAACCGATAATGCTTAATGTACACTTCTTTATACTTTTTAACGTTTTGCACTGAATAGAGATAAACTATCTTTTAAAGCTTATCTATTAAAAGATCCTAAACACATTCTTTGAAACAGATAATAAAATAAAGATATGTAAGCGTATTGACATGAAAATAGGTGTACTGGGGAAAATAGATAGGAATCCTGAGCCCATGAGATTGATAGCAGCAAAATTAAAGGCAGATACAGAGGAATGAGAAGAGCATTAGCATGGTGTAAAAGGAGTAGGATGAGGAAAGGAAAATTATTTACTGATAACATGTGTGATGATCTTATTGGCTACTATGGCTGTATCCTTAACCCTTTGTGGGCTAGTTTGTTTTTTTTTCTCTTAGTTTTATATAACTTTTTTTGCATTGCTGCAGAGGGACTAGAAGAAAGAGATAAGCAGAACATGAGCTTCAATGTCTTATTGAAAAAAAATTCAACTTTTTAATTAGTTTTTAAGTTGTAGTAGTGAAACATTAGAGTAAGGGTTGGTGAGGAAAGGAATAGAAAGAAGGATGAATGTACAGTAAATAGCTGATAAGACGACTCAGCTTGCTTAAGTACCAACTGTGGTATGAAACTTTAGAAAAACCACAAGAAGTGTTGTGCTAGTTGAGTGCATTAATATCAGTATCAATCCTGATAGACTTGTGCAAATGGTAGAAACAATAAATATGGGGTGGGGCTTGGTGGCCAAAAGTGCAAGATGTATGACTAGATGGCGGCTCTCCATACATGCTGTGGGTGATTGCTGATAGCAACGGCTTGAGGCCTGCTTCTTAAGGCAAGTTGGGGAACATGGCCAATTCCTCGGTCTCTGACGACACGACTGTCAGAGCCTCGTTTCCCCCACCATTGGACCAGTGGGGGATATGGTCCCCACCAGCTCAGCAATCAGCATCATTCTTTGGGCACACACTGAAAGTGAGCTGCATACATGGCACTAGTCATAAGTGCAATTAACATGGTGGATGTGGCAAGCGCTCCTGCTTGTCATTGAGGGACACCATCACTCCTAAGCCACATAGATGATATCTTTGCTGCCGTCTGGCAGAAACTGTGCGCGAAGATGAATGCACTAGTGTCAAAAACTACTCACACACCTCCCAGTCCATCCCGCCATCATGGCTGTGGACAGGCAGCTCCAGGAACTCTAGCAGTGCATCTGAGACAGTGAGGGCCGCACAGCAGCAAGCTTGGACTGTGGAGCCACTAAAGCTGGAAGAGTGGTGGTTGGGGAACCGACTGCAGCCACTGATCTGCTTACCTGTGTTTCTGGTGCCAAGCCTGAGAACCAGCACACACCTGGGGGACTGTGTCCTGCCCATGCATTGTGATGTCAGTTTGCTCAATTTATAATTTCCAGTTTAACTCTACTTTATAATACAAAAAGTTCTGTATTATTGACATTGTATGCCATTACGCAACTTTTACTGCTGTTTATACTCTTGATAAAATATCTATACACGTCTGTATGTTAACCCCTTAAGGACCAAACTTCAGGAATAAAAGGGAATCATGACATGTCACACATGTCATGTGTCTTTAAGGGGTTAAACTCATACAAAAAGAAAGAAAAAAAAACCCAACCAAAAACGTATATTCAAGGGTTCATCAAATCTATGTATTGTATAAAATAAACAACATGCAGAACATAATATATACTGTTTATAACAAAAAAAACCTCTAATAATCCCTCCAAAAAGATAAAACACAAAAACAGTATACCAGAGCCTGTTCCCTGGCTCTGGGTAAATGTTGCTTGTAGGGAGAGGACTAAACACCCCACATGTTGACTTATTAAGATGTGCTGCAGCAATAAAATATAGGAGTGAACAAGGTGGCCTGTATAGTGTGATACCTCCAATTTATTATCATCCACAATAGACTAAAAACAGTTACATTGGGGGGGCGTGGCCTGACCGGGTATGGAGTGAGACGCATCTCCCTGCAGCTCCTAGGCCCCAGCTCACTATCGCACCGATACACGGGCACGAATTGACCCGAGATGGGTAAAACTAAGAGGCTACTCACCCCTGGCCCCTCACAAACGGGCTCACCGAGCCGCACCGCGGGACCCATGGACGGGTACCTCGGAACGCCGCGAGACATGCGGGCGCACCAGGCCGCGGCCAAAATGGCGCCGCCCTCGCCGGACGCCAGCAGCACAGACAGCCCAGCAACAGGCCCAGTCAGAGAGGAGTCACTGACCCAAATAGCAGCAGACTTGGCCACAATATCGGCAAACATGATGTCCAGGGCGGATAAAACGGAACTGCTGGCAGAAATAAGGGCAGTTATCAGAGAAGAGGTAATGGAGGTGAGGAGAGACCTGACAGCACTGGAACGCAGAGTGGAGGAACTTGAGGCAGAACGTGCCCAAATCATACAACACCGCCAAGCCACAGACACAGCCACTACTAGACAAGGCAATGTCTTGCTGGAGCTAAGGAGGAATCTGGAAGATTTGGACAACCGCGGACGGAGGAACAACATCCGCGTCAGGGGACTCCCTGAATCAGCAGGGGAAGCACTACCAGAGCTCCTGCTGGGCCTGTTCACACACATACTAGGGGACAGAGCCCCGGCAGACTTCGGAATTGAACGTGCACACAGAGCCCTGCGCCCCGTGACCGCTGAGGGACCGCCTAGAGACGTAATCTGCTACCTGCTCTCCTACTCGTTAAAAGACGAAATCATGAGGGAAGCAAGAAGTCAGCAGAACCTCACCTACATGGATGCCCAGATTTCCCTATACCAGGATCTCTCAGTACTCACCTTGGAAGCGAGAAGAGCTTTGAGACCGCTAACCACCCTGCTCAGAGATCGGCGGATACAATATAAATGGGGATTCCCCTTTAGCTTACAGGCGAAGGTGAACAACATATGGCATATCATACGCTGGCCAGCAGACGTGCCGCGCTTTCTACGAGCCGCGAACCTCCCAGCCGTGACAGTCTCAAACTGGGTCCTGGAGAGACAGCCACAACGCCCAAATGCTCCAAACACTAGGTCGGGTACGGGCCTTACAGGGGCTGGGTTCCGCAGAGGCGGCCCGGACAGCCATGAGGAATAACGGACTCAAGAGCCCAGGAAGGCGGCGACTGGCGCACCCACAGACGGCGGCACTCCCCAGCCTTCACACCCCCATTTAGACCCAGAAACCACGCCACAGTGAAACAGACTACCGGACCGCTCCCCCAGGGTCGACCCGGAGAAACATCCTTCGTAAGCAGAAGCTGACACACCGTTGGGTATGTACTTGCACCCCTATCCTGGGCCCGTAGCATTTACGCACTAGCCAGAGTTACCGGGACTTGAGACAATGGAGTGCCACATTTTTGGGGTGGTGGGATCGGAGGGGAACGGGTATCACCCGGGGAAGATGAAAACAAAGGAGGGGGTCACCCCAGGTTTTGAAAGACTCAGACTCACAGCCCACAGAATCCCCCCTTTGGGTGGTTGGGGTAGGGGGGAGGCAATAGCGGACACCAACTACCTGAGTTGCATCCCAAGATAAAGACTGGACAGTCCCATACAGTCCCAGAAGGTCCCACGATTCAAGCATCGCCCAACCCCAGAAGGGATTAGCAAGCCAGCTAGCGGGACAGGACACCACTTTCCGGGCTGGAACAGGGAGCAGAGGAGAGGGGTGCGGTCCTTGAGGGAGAGGGGAGAGGGGAAGGTTAGCGGCGGTGGTCTGGTATTTACAGTTGTTAATGTTATTAACGTTGATGAAGTTCATATGTTTCGCACCACACCTAGGTGGTCACACACCTACACAAGGGGGTTGGAAACACACCTGAGCCCATGGAGCCGGGAGGGCTAGGCTGGGGCGGGGGTACCCAGGGAGGCCGGACCCGTCGGGTAGCAGCGGGGCCCAAATACCAACTAAACACGCATTACCTAGACCCTTAAGAACAGAGAGGAAAATGGATGATGGGAAGGTGGTACCCTCATACTACTTCAACATACCCGTAGGGAAGATTCCAATTAAACAAACCTTGTGGGCTGGGTGCCGTGAGAGCGGTGCGATTCAGACGACGGTTCACCCCAGAACGGACGACCCACGTACCCCACGTGACGGACTCACACTGTACAAATCCTCGGAGGCTACTCTGGTGACATACCCCGAAGGGACTAGACACCGGTGGGCGACTGACCCCGAGGCGAGTCATAGTTACCTTATACCCTGACCCACAACCCTTCCCTGACTCTGACCTGACTTCTCTCCTCCCCCACCCCCCGAACCTTACCCTGCGATACTTTGACACACCCATACCCTACCCCACTAGCAGATAGGGATGGGCTCTAGCTATGTACCGGCGCCGCTTACCCTGTGGTCGAACAACGTTAGAGGCCTAAACGTACCCGAGAAGCGGTCTCAGTTACTCAGAACACTCTGGGCGGAACGCATCTCGGTGGCGTTTTTGCAGGAAACACATCTTAAAGGTGCAGAGGCCCCCATCCTGAAAAACGGAAGGTACCCCACAGGCTATTACTCTAACCATGCCGACCAAAAAAAAGCGGGGGTAGCGATCCTCTTTTCACATACTGTCCCATTCATGTGCACAGAGCAACGAACAGACCCAGGGGGTAGATACTTATTTATCAAAGGAACCATAGCGAAGCACCCCTACACATTCGCCTGCCTGTATTCCCCGAACCGTAACCAACATGTCTTCCTGAATAAAACACTTACATTGCTCAATAAGTTCAGAGAGGGCCTTCTACTTATGGCAGGAGATCTTAACACTCCGTTAGACGCTAGACTAGACACCTCCAGGGGAGAAAGCTCAACACCAGGTCACTGCACACGCGCAGTCGGGAGAGCACTGACAAGGAGTGGACTAGTGGATTGCTGGAGGGCGGCGCACCCTGACGGCAGGGACAGCCATAGTTACTGTAATACCTAAAGAGGGCAAGGACCCGACGAACTGCGCGAGCTACCGTCCCATATCGCTACTAAACGCAGACCTGAAACTATTCGCAAAAGCCATTGCCCTGAGAGTTACAAGACACCTCCCCCACTTGGTACACTCGGATCAGGTTGGGTTTATCCCGGGCAGGGAAGGGAGAGACAATACGATTAAGGCCCTGAACATCCTACACATAGCACGGACGCGCCGTAGAGAACTTCTACTACTTTCCACCGATGCCGAAAAGGCTTTTGACCGGGTGAGCTGGTCGTATATGGGGAGCACCCTCACACACATGGGATTCGGCCCCAACATGCTGTCCTGGGTGCTCTCACTGTACACGTGCCCCACCGCGAGGATCCGCATTAACGGGGCACTATCAGCCCCTTTCACAATCAGGAATGGCATCCGCCAGGGATGCCCGCTTTCCCCCCTTCTGTTTGCCCTCTCCCTGGAACCATTTCTAGGGGCAGTCAGACGGAATGGGGGAATCTCTGGATTCCGCCTCGGTTGCCACGAATACCGAGTAGCCGCATATGCAGACGACATGCTGTTCTTTCTTACACAGCCGTTGATCTCACTGCCCAACCTTCTAGTATCTTTCCGGGAGTTTGGGGCACTCTCTAATCTTAAACTCAATACGGATAAGTCTGAGGCCCTCCACCTCCCACCTCCTACAGGCCCCCCAACACACCTTCACACCCAATACAGGTTCAAATGGTGCGATATCAAATTAAAATATTTGGGCATATGGCTGACCAAGGACCCGTCCCAATTATACCACCATAACTATCACCCACTCCTACACTCACTTCAGACAGACCTTAAGAAATGGGCCCCATATTACATCTCCTGGTTCGGACGTATCAACGCGGTTAAAATGAACGTGTTACCCAGGTTACTCTACCTATTCCAAACAGTGCCAATTACTCTCCCCAGAGCCTTTTTCAGCTCCATAACGACCGCCATTCGCAGATTCGTTTGGAACTCCCGCCCAACCCGAATAAAAAAATCAACCCTAGAACTACCAAAACTGATGGGGGGCACGGGACTGCCCTCCATAGAGACATATTACCGCGCCGCACACCTGCACAGACTGACGGACTGGCATGCACAACACCCATTAAAACAATGGGTGACCCTGGAGCTAGAACAAACAGACAGAAAAATACCCTCTAGGCTTTGGTTACACACCGCCACATACTCCGACCTACACACCGAGAACCCACTAATTGACGCCACACTCCGAGTGTGGATGGCTACACGCTACCGACTGCAACTCACCAGCTCACCCAGCCCCTTGACACCCATCACACATAACCCTGACCTGGCCGATGCTCTATCCCCACAAGACTTAGCCGGCCTCCAGCAGGCGGACTGGATGTACCTACACCAATGGCTCGACACTCAGGGACTTAAGCCACTCGGAAACCTCTGCCC